TAATAATAATAATAATAATAATAATAATAATAATAATAATAATAATAATAATAATAATAATAATAATAATAATAATAATAATAATAGAGTTGGAAGGGACCTTGGAGGTCTTCTAGTCCAACCCCCTGCTCAGGCAGGAAACCCTATACCATTTCAGACAAATGGCTGTCCAGTCTCTTCTTAAAAACTTCCAGTGTTGGAGCATTCACAGCTTCTGGAGGCAGGTTGTTCTAGCTGTCAGGAAATTGTTCTAGCTGTCAGGAAATTTCGCCTTAATTCTAGGTTGCTTCTCTCTTTGGTTAGTTTCCATCCGTTGCTTCTTGTCTTGCCTTCAGGTCCTTTGGAGAATAGCTTGACTTCCTCTTCTTTGTGGCAACCCCTGAGATATTGGGACACTGCTATCATGTCACCCCTAGTCCTTCTCTTCATTAAACTAGACATACCCAATTCCAGCAACTGTTCTTTATATGTTTTAGCCTCCAGTCCTCTGATCATCTTTGTTGCTCTTCTCTGTACTCTTTCTAGAATCTCAACATCTCTTTACCAAGGCATTATAAAGTGGTATTAACACTTCATGTGATCTTGATTCTATCCCTCTGTTAATGCAGCCTAGCACTGTGCTGGCTTTTTTGGCAGCTGCAGCAGACTGCTGGCTCATATTTAAGTGATTGTCCACTAGGACTCAGAGATCCCTCTCACAGTTACTACTATTGAGCAAGGTACCATCTATACTGTACCTGTGCATTTAGTTTTTCTTGCCTAAATGTAGAACCTTACATTTTTCACCACTGAATTTCATTTTGTTAGATAGTGCCCAATGTTCAAGTCTGTCAAGATCCTTCTGTATCTTAAGCCTGTCTTCTGGAATGTTGGCTATTCCTGCCAGCTTGGTGTCATCTGCAAATTTGATGAGTTCCCCATATATTCCCTCATCCAAATCATTGATGAAGATGTTGAAAGCACTGGGCCCAAAACAGAGCTCTGGGGCATCCCACTACACACTTCCCTTCATGTAGATGCATTTCCTTTATAGTTCCATTTTGTTCAGCTTATTTCTATAAGGCAGATGAATTGGAAAACACGCTTGTTGCTTGAATGAGATAGAGTAGTAGTCTATATATTAATTGCTATCTGGAAACTAATCTATGTAAAAAAAAATGGGCATATTTTTTAAAAATTAAAGAGTTAAAATCCTTATTGGACACAACAAAAGCAATTTTTTTTAATTATTCACTTAGCCACGGGGTTGGGGGGGAAAAGAGCATATTTGTCTCAAGCTCCCAAAGTTTTTTAAGCCTGATGTATTCAAAACATTTCCAATTTTCTCCTATCATAACACAGAAAACGTAAGGCATTCAAATTTTATTGGAACACAGATAATTTAGAATGTTCTGGCAGAATGTTTCGAGTAGAGCAAAAAACAAAAAAATATTCCTTCGGGTACACAGAGCAAAAGCTAGATTTAAACTTGAATAAGTGCCTTTGGCACTTAATTCATTTGCTTAATTCTTCTGTCCAGCCATTCAGAAAAACAAAGAATCAGAATAGCAGCCTAGTTACTCCCTACTAAACCAGCTTGTCAAAGGCATTATGTCAAGATAAATGTAATTGGCTCTTAATTATGCTACCCTCATTGCCTCCAAGGGAAGAGAGTTCTGAAGCAAGGAAAGCCAGTTCAAAAACATTGTTTTAAGAAGGAAAAGGACATTTTCTAAGGGTTATCTCTGGAGGATTATAACAAATCACTGAGTTGCTGAAAATGCAGTACCTCACAATATTTTTACTATTTTTGGATATTACCAATTTGTAGATTGTTTCTTCAGTAAATAACATTATTTCTGTGCTACTATAATGTCTTATGAGCTAGTTTGTTGGTTTTGGTACCATTATAATTTTAAAAAGACTTTTCCACAGAATATTTTTAAGATACTTATGAACACGATTGTGTAAGATGCACATGTCATGCCAGTCATCTCTGGTCACATAGCATTTGTTGCCTTCCCATGTAAGCAGCTGTCATGCTGTAACTTTTTTAGTGACTACAGAGCACAGTATTTCAATGAACCATTTAACTCCATGCTGCAGAACTCCTATTATTCTAGAGATAGGAAATGCTTCTTTATCTCCACTGCCTGCTCCAAAATATGTCATCAGCAATTGTTCCTACTAGATTAAAATTTTATTTCAGGGCAAAATCTGGTGTAATATTGCCTGCATTGTAAGCCTCTTCTATTATTTTCTTTAATTATACTGGAATTTTTCTTTCCCTCAAAGATTCAGCTAATTGGGCTCATCCATCTTAGACTTAAAATACAAAGCTAAGAAATTAGACTTAAGCCCAGAATCACCCAATTATACATAAACAAACTCTGAATATAGTGAGAGTTCAACTCTTATTCCAGGAATCTCTCCTCTTTGCCCTGCTAGCATTCAGTTAATATTATATTATAAGATAATGGCTGTATGGTTAGAAGGCTTACTTCATCCATACAGGTCATCTCTTGAAAGCAACTGTTTCCCTTCTCTCTGCTATTGTGATAATGTTATATACTAGCTGCAGCAGAATATTCATTTTGTGAGACACTTTAATTCAAGATTAAAGATTCAGTATATCCTTTGTTCCCAGAATATTATCTATGTTCAGCCAGCATGAGGTTGGGGGAGAAGCATCTTTGAATGCTACAGTAGATGGTAAAACATAACCTCTATTAAAATAATGCTCCATTAAAAAAAAAGGAATGGCTAGGAACTGAAACAGCTTGCTAGGGAAAGGGAGTATTATTCTGGCATACAGGACAAGTTCCCTATATTCTGTGGAACCATAGCTCAGATCTCTTAGCAAGTGAAAGCTGCACACTATTGGCAACTTTGGCTTATTCAAAAGATACTAATGATGGATTGGGTTACATCAGCTCTGGTCAGTAATATATTAGATTTTAGTGCTTGTAGCATTTGCACTGTATGTTTGCAGTGTATTATTTACTGCACCATTACTCTGTCAACATTGTAGGTAGTTTGTTGAAAAGGATTTATTTAGTGGCTGTTTCTGTTTTTGTGGTCTCAGTTGTGATAAAGTATATGTTAAATTATGGGTATGTCTTAAAAGAAAGCTTCTTGTTTTAGCAATGATACATTAAGATTACAAAGTTATTTTGAATAAAACCATACTATTCTAAATTTCAATAACCAATAAGATAACAACATTGAAATTATACTTATTGTCAACTGCAGATCCATATAAGTTGTACAAGCTACTAAACATTATTTAGAATAAGGCACAGGGCAACATTATGTAGCTAATTTTGCATAAATACGATTGTATTAAAGAGGATTAAAGAAGTCTATTACAGTTTTTAAGTTTTCTGTTCAAGGCGTGAATGAAAATTGTAGTGTTCTGATTAGCCACATGTGCTGGTCATCCTGTTTCCTTTCCCTTCTCTTTTCCCAGCATTATAAACTTCTCAAGAGAGCAAGATCTTCTCATGTATCCAGAGGCATTTTATTTACTCTTCTGGAAAACCAAATATATCCCCATAATCAAAAACATTATCAGAAACAAATCTGGATTGATTTATTAGTAATCCATTTGTTTGGGGCTTTTTGGCTCTCCGTGATATTCTCAAGGCTCTTCTTTAACACCAAAGGCAAAAGTGTCAATACTCTTTGTTATCCTGCTTTCTCAGAGTCCAACTTTCACTTTTATAGAGTATCATAGGGAAATAAAAACATTGCCTATGTGATTGTAAAGTTTATAGGAATAGACATGTCACAAAATCTGAATATCTTTTCCAAAACCTTTGTTACTGCTATACTAAGTGCTAGTTTGCAATTGCAATCCTGAAAGGCAGGAGCCATCCACCACTTCAGTATCTTCACTGAATACTGTGATAATTCCACGATTGATTGCTATATCTATTATCAGGCATTTGATCTTCTTAATATTTAATTGCATTCCCATTTTTTACTGTGTTCCTTGACTTTCATTATTACAACTTTGCCACCCCTTTCAAGGCAGGAAGGTGAGGAAATAGATAATGCAAGAATTACAGGTATGGTACTTTATTTCTGCAGGGTATAATAACAAAATCTTAAAAGGCTGCTAGAATGTCTGGCTGCCCCATCATTCAAAAAGAATCAAGACAGGGTTATGTGAGCTTCCTTCTGATGCCTTTTTCTTTCCCAGGACTGTCATTATTATGAACTTGCATTTTAATATGACTTATATTTCATTGTATTCAACAGAAATCAAATTTGAAATCATATTGTAGAATATGCTTATTTAGAAAAAGTACACCTTGATATGTATCCTTCAATATTATATTTGTTTTTTGTCTGTCTATTTAAATTAATAGCTTGCTTAAATGAATGATATTATATTACAAATTGTGTGTCTCTCTGTGTGTTTTAAATCATGAAGTACATTGCTCCAGACTGCTTAGTTTGAATAGGCATATAAGAATTCTTCTATAGCTTATCAATGAATGATCCAGCAATCCTAATCTACTGAATGCTAGCTCTGTAGCAACTGAATGGAAGAAAGCAGGATTCTTATTTACTTGTTTAACTGGGTAAGCCAGTTAAAATATGAGATCTTCTGCTTGCAGAGATGCTTTGTGCCATTAAACCATGGTTCCCTTTCATTATGTATTCAATTTACAGTGTAAAAGATCAAAGTTCTGCTGATTGGAAAGATCCTTTTTTGTATGACATTTTCAATGCCTTCTGTAATTCCAGTCAGAGTATAAAACATAGGACCACATAAATAAACAATCTGATCTGGTGCAAGAAAGTTTAGAACTTCTTTAATTTCATTGTATACAAAGTACACTGTAATTTATAATGTTCCAACCAATGCAGTCTGTATGAGGAAAGTTGGTGATATAGCCAATTTCCTATACTTGTTGTTGATGATTTTTTACAATCTATATTTTATCCATCAATATAAATTTTGGAAAACTGTTTCTTTTAAATATTTTTCAGTACCTCATTTTATAGGCTGATTAAATAACTCTGAAAACAGTATAAACTATAAGGTAATATATAGTTGTAATTTATATCCACATATAATGAATGTGTATGTAATGGTTAATATTTCTTATTTTTTATGAGCTGGGTTAGAAAAACAGCAGGTCTTACTGCTGGTAGCATTTCAAATAATTTTTTGCTGTAGGCTCTTGTGTTAAAAAGAGGATTGATAAAAAAATCTTACATAGTTGGAATCTTAACTGACCCTAACCGAGTATAAATATTAAAACATGTTTCCTCTAATCAATGTTCATATGTATCCCCCTGTGGAAAACGACTTTGTTTTATCGTGCTTTAGCAAAGGCACCCAGATGCAGAAGCACAAACACACACATAAACACTAAACATCAAAGAATGTTGAAGTATATTTAGACTTCTGTTCAAACAAACAGAGGTAAGAAAAAGTGGTATGTTCAAAATATTGGTGATTTAAATTAAAAATAGTGATAATGAAACTGTAAGCGAAACATAACCATCAAGAGTGGTTGAATTCACATTAAATCAAAATCATAGGAAATTGTTGTGTAACAACACTAACCTCCAACAATAACATATTGTTAATCACACACACATATATACACACCAGTTAAAATATATCCAACTTTGTATTTTCAGTGCCAAGTTTTAAATACTGAATCACACTTTTGAATTTTCTTTTTACTGGGAGCAGTGCAAAGAAGCAGTCATAAGATCAGTGTAATTACTTCCCTGCTTTTTGTCCCCCTCCCCCTTTTTTTTCTAAATAAAGTGGATTTATTAGTGTGAAAGGCTAAATGTTTTTGTGTGGGTTTTCCTTTGTAATACACAGCAGCTTTAATAGCCCCTTAGAAAGATGTTGCCTGTTGGGGGGAATTGGATCAGCTAGTAAATATTATGCAAGTATGCACACATTTAACCTTCAGTGTTCCTTTATTACTGTATGGTCAAAGTTAGGGGAAAGTAAAAAAAAGTGTGCTAATTAAAAGATGTAATGTTAAGATATTGCCCCGAAATTGAGCAGCAGAAATTATTCTGAGGACCTGTCTGGTTAAAGAGGGCAATACTACTATCTTTATCTCATTGCATATTTTTATTTTATTTGATTTTGCATCATATGATTCCAGAGCAATTCTGAATGTCTCACAGTATAAAACAAAGTATAAATACAATACCATAAATAAAAAGTACAAAAAGAGAAATGAAAAAATGGCAGTCTGGAGAAAATATCAACCCAAAACAAGAAATATCAATCATCTCTAACAAGGGAAGATCCATCCATCCTATCACAAGGCTTAGGCCACGTTTATGGTCTTCCTGAATGCCATCAGGATGAGAACTATTGTTATGCATCATAACAAAGAAGGCTTGGTTCCTGGGTCCCGAAAGATGACATCGTTTTACCAAGGGAACCGGAGCATGTCCTCTCTGTCATTCCTTCCTGCATAGGCAAAAACTGCAGAAGATAGGTGATCTCTCAAATGGGTGGTCCCTATGTCATGTAGAATTTTATAGTGATAACCAACACCTTAAATTAGACCTGGAAGACCTAGAACCAGTGCAGCTCCCAAAGCAGGAGTGTTACAAGGTCATCCCAAGGCATTCTCGATAAGATGTAACTTCATCAATATATCAAGAGATAGCACTCTTAGTAACTAACCTCAAAAATTCAACATCGATTTGAGAAAGGGAATGTGCTTCCCCCGTTGCCTTCCCCGATCCCATTAAAAGTTCCTATTATTCAAGTACTATTAGTTTTAATATTCAAAAATTATTTATAGGATTGAACTTTCAAAAAACAAATTACAGCCACTTGAATCTGTGTAATTCTTTTCCAGCAGTTGAATAATTTCTGATAAATTATGGGTCAAAGCAAAATTTGGTTTTCACATTTTTTTTTCTTAATGACATTCTATAAAGGAGATAAATATCTAAGGAAACCTATCAAAGGAATATATTTGAATTGAGACCCAAATCAAACTAGGATTATGGCGTGTTAGAGTGTTAGATACATAAGCATTGCTTAAACAATTGTGCTGCAAAAAAATGAAATAAATTCTGGCTCCAAAAACACTATATAAGAAGTAATAGCAAAGATTTGTTGAGCTTAGGGATCAAGGAATCACTTTTTATTAAATTGGCAAAAGCGAGGATTGAGCAAAGAAATTAACCTTGAGCAGCAGTGCTGGGAAACAAACACACCAATAAAAAAATGACATGCTTGAGAAGGCTTTGTACTTTGTTGATTAGAACAAATACAAATTGCATGCTAATTCAGAAGTATAAATTGGTAGCATCTACTGGTGGAATGATACATAGTGACAGTGACAGTTCTATCGTATGAATTTTCTTGTTGAATAAAGTAGAATCTGACTAGCATCCCTGATGTAACTTTAGTATTAAACACCTCTGGGCATAGTTCAGTGCATACACAGATCTCCTGAGTTTACGGGATTCAGTGGGGCAACTCTAGGCTAACATGATGAGTTTAAAAATATTCCTTTAATTTGAGGGAAACATGGAAATGAGAACAGCCATCCCAAGATTTTTCTGATACCCTTGTCTATCCTGGACACCATACAATGATTCATGGATCTCTCATTATTCCACTGCACCTGAAAGAAAGTTTTGTTGACTGTATTCTCTAGGGAGGGAGTAAGAATAAAAACAAATTGTATGCATTTCTGGCATGTTTGTGCATGAGACTTATTGTTCAGGAGCTTTTGATGTCAATTTCAGATTAAATTCTTGTATAGGTCTCATGACTTCTCAAGGAAAGCCTACTCTTTTCCTGCTCTTGTGTTCTATTTTGGCATTCTGATAACATAATACTTGATCAGATACAGTCTTTTGTGTATTATGTTGCCAGATACATTCCCAGTACAATATGGTCTGCAGCAAGTTTGGTCTTTCTCTCTGTACAAAAAAGAAAGAAAACAAGAGAAAATTGATAGAATCCCTTCTCCAGCTTCTTTAAAAAAATAACTACCTCTCGCACCCCAAAATTGGTTATCCTGATTTAAATAAGGATTATGAAAATGTTAGTATATAAGGTTGTTTGAAATTCCAAAAATCCTTCCCACTCAATGGGGGGGCTTAACAACACATGAATCATGATGCAAATAACAGAGATTACAAATTTCTGGCGGACATTATCATGCTCAAACTGTCTTTAATCAACACCAAGAGAGCAGTGTAACTCTGTGGCTCTTGCTTTTGGCTCATCTGCGTACAAGATTCCAGTGACTCTGCAACCAACTCTTTGTGGGATCCTCTCTATTTGTTGGTATTTATTGGGCAAGCTTTCCACCACAACACAATGTCGTCATGGCATGCATAGTATTATTTTGAGCCATTATAGCTTCGTATGGACATCTATGAATCTTCTGTTTAAAGTCTGGCATTATCTCCAATAAAGTATAATATAACTTTCTTTGAGCTGATTCTACATAATAACAAACAAACAAAAACAGATACTGCAAACAAAACTGAGAAACAATACCTTACATATCAAAGGAACCACCCCAGACCTTGTACTTGTACTCCCCAGAGATGGGGAGGCCTTGCAAGTTCTATGTTATGTACTAAAAACTCATCCTTGCCCAATTTGTTCTACTAAATAAAACTATTTTTTCATTGGAAAAAAATGGACTTGAATATTCCTGGTGACTGGTTTCCTTGAATTGTATTTGTTACTGGAGATATTTGCAAAATTCCTTATGATTGTTCAAATGGTTAAAAGAAATGTCAACAACTAAAATAACTTTCAGAGCAATCAGACGGAGCTGTATGTATGCCTATTTTGAGATTCAACTTCTCATTCAAGATGTCTTCCCTGATCTTTACATCTGCATTTATCTTAGATTCTAGACATTTCTAGTCTAATGAAATTTAGTGTATGTAATGGAAAATAATTGTCTGCAATCTGTTCTCATCAATTCAAAGCTAAAAGGGCTATTTAAACCATCCAATTTGTCTAAAAAAGTAAAAATATTTTAAGAGTAATTATTTTTATCCTATTTAATATTGATTTAACATTATTTCTGTTAACATTGATAAGTAAATATTGTTTAATAATAAATGTTATTAAATAATATTGAAACTAAATAAATATTTCTCAACTAGAATAAGAAAAATCATGTTCACAAAGATTTAATTATTAGTAAAAAATTAACAAATAATTACTTCTTTTGTTAAAAAATACATTTATAAATCTTTAATGTTTGAATATTCCCTGTTGTTTCAAGATGGCAAAGAAACAAGACAGTTGTGATGAAAGCACTTTCATTCAAGTTTAATTTGATCTTGTTCTTTAACTTTGACAGCTTGGTTCTGATTGTTCCATCTGTTATGTACATGTCTTTAAGTGACTAAATCTCAAGGGGAAAAATAACCCATTCTTCAGTGAGTTGGCACATGTTACCTCATTTTCAAGAAATCATTATCCAGTCTCCCTCTGTTTCTTTGTTGAAATATGAACTCTAATTTCATGAGGCTTTTAAAAATTAGGTGAAAATTTCCTTTTCTTCATTTGTAAAGAAGAATTTTACAAAATTCTCAAATGTCTATAAAAGTTGGAATAGAAGTAACTTGATTAAAAGAAAAGAACACAAAGCTTTGAAAGTTTAGCTTTATAAAATCTGCCTTTGAGTTCTTAGAAATTCAACCTTATCTGTATATGCTGAGTTGTTGTCTTTTTCTTTTAACCATTTTTACTAATTCAGTTTTTAAAAATTAACTAATGTTTAATAATTACATGGTAGAAAGATATAGCATATTCTTTTCATTTTAAGAATAGTTTTTCTATTCAATTTGACTGACATAATTGGATGAGAATTTCTTTCACCTCAATTTCTGGAAACATGTTTCCTTCCATAATATTAACAGAAACCCTCCTAGCTGAAAATATTCTTATTTTTGTGATAGTTTGAAGAAGAAATTACAGTATCAAAACCTAGAAATGTTGGTTATCTTCGAAAGTAAGAAAAAAGCAGAAATAATGTTGAATCATTAATAACATTGAACCAATAACTTTAAAAACCTTTAGTTAAATGCACTTGATTCAGATGAACTCAGATCACCAACAAAAAAAGGTATAATTTGGAGCAGATCTTCATTTCCCCACAGTGCTTTTTTTGTAAAAAAAAAAAAAAAAAAAAGGTGCCAGAACTCACACATGTCATACAACCCACCCTTGCCTACCCTACAAGGTTCCATCCAAAAAAGGTGCTGGAACTCCGTTCTGGGCGTTCTATGACAAAAAAAAAAGCCCTGTTTCCCCATAATGAAATAGATAAATCTGAATTCATTTCATTCTGATTCTGGATTTCTACAGATCTTAGATTTAAGTTTATTTCTTCTTATCTCTTGTCTATTGTAAATGGTAGCAACAGAATAAAACAAATTATTAAAAATGTTTAAATAAACATCACAGAGAGTAGATTGGATGGAATTTTCCGACTAGTGTAACTGTTCTGAAAGAATTAATCCTGCCAAATTTTATATTAATAGGTTTGGGGTAGGATTACACAATACAGGTTTGAGAGTTCAAAACAGAATGTGCCAATGTTGTTTTTTTGGACATTTATTATGACTACATTATGCAGCATAGACATATCTTTAACTACCTAACCTGCAAAATTTCAGAATAATTAATGCATTGCATTTAAGGAAGCAGAGGCTTCCAGAGGTATCTGCGGAGAAGACAAGGAGATCAAATGACAAAAGCATTTGCAACACAAGTTCTCTCCTTTTTGTATGTGCATTGTAACTCCACATAGACATAAGAAAAGGGTGGAATATGTATTAAAATAAAGCAACTTTTTTCATTTTGTCAAAAGTACAAGATCCTGAAGATGCATCTTGAGTTTTCTAGTTTAGAGTGCAGGAGAAAATGAATAAGATTCCTTTTTCCTGTTAATTGCCATTTACAATTTTTTTATGAAAATGGAATAAATCAGTAAAAGTGAATAGACAAAAAATCTTCAGTTTTTAAGGATAGGTACGGATACTGTGGAGTTAAAGCATCATGAATGAAAATAGTTTTTTGTTTGTGTTTGTGTGTTGTGTTCAAATAAAACAAACTACAGTATAGTAGAATCAAATGGATAAACGTTTTCCAAGAAAACATCCAATATAATATTTAATACCATCTCAGCTCCAGAGAAAACCGCCAAAGATCATTGAACAGTAAAACAGTCCTTCAGACATTCCTCCCTCAAAATTTTGGGCTTTAGTAGATAGACAGTCCCAGTAAATCCATTAAATATGTTATTAGTTATAAATTTTGCAACTAGTTGTGTTAGAATACCCAGTGAATCAATGATTAAATGTCATTTTCCATTTTTTAATGTTTTCTCTCCACACTGATTTTCAAATGTACCCCTTCAGCCATCTGTACAGATTCCAGAACTGGAATAGGGCAAGTTATCAATCAAAATTAATATTAGATAGTTAACAAGCTATCATGAAAACCTAGCATGTATATCAATTAAAAATGTTTTTGTCAAGAAGTTGGCAATAAAGCTGTCTATAAAGTAATACAAAAATATGTTTTTCTATAAAAATATGGGAAATTTGTTTTGTTTTCTTGTGCTTCATATATCTGACTTACCAAAATAATATAATTTATTGTACCAAGGCAACATGCATGAGTGGAAAATTTCCAGAACCAATAATTTTGTTCCATCTGTGGTCTGGCTTCTGTTGTTCAGACCACTGGTCACTAATATAATAATTTTAGAAAAAAGAAGTAGCATTTGTCCTCCTTTTCGAATTATGTATTATTAGGGTGTTTTTATCTATATCGGATGGGCAGCATTGGAGAGATTAAAATATAAAATTCAGTTTTCAAACTTATATTATCCTGTTGAAAGCCATCTAACGATGTGATAACCCTAACCCTAACCCTCTCCTAAAAAAGCAAAGTTAGATACTGAATGAAAATTGTCCAGTATGATCGCATCTAGTGATATAGCTTCTTGAAGAAGGGGCAACCAATTTCTCCTTATGGGGCAGAGAGATCCCCTCTCTCAGAGAGGAATAAACCACTGCTAAAACCCAACCACACAACACCCCCCAAGTAGCCTTAGTTAGGAGGAGCATGGATCTAAGGAGCAGGTGCCTGAGCTCACAGCCATAAGGACTCTGTCCACTTCCTCAGCAACAACAGGTTAAAACCATTCATAGATAACCAGGCAAGACTGTACTCCAGGCATCTCTATTGGACGTGTATCAAAGTTGGTGTCCAACTGTGAATGGGATTGAATGATTTTGTCAAATAAATGCTCTGAAAATTCTTCCACATGAAGGAATAAAGGAATTAATAACCTGAAAAACACCCTGGCCTGGTGGCTCCAAAATGTCTATCCTGCTTGTTGCAAATCTCTTTGTGATCATTCTAATTACCAAGTAGATCCCTTCATTGCTACTATAAGTGAATAGGTTATTCCAGCACAAGCTTAAACTGAGCAGTGCCTTTTTAAGACCCTGGATGTGTAATCATACAGAAAAGCAATTTTTCATTGCACAAGGGAGAAGGAGATATTGTCTCCAAAATCAGGTGGTCTTGGACATCTCCCTTAATCAAAAATACTGTAGTTTCTTCACTTTAGCAACTATCATTTAAAAGTGATGCCTGTTAACTCATAGGCTTACCTTTTAAAATCTAACCCTAACCAATTAAATTTCATGACTTCCAGTATGGTACATTATTTCATTAATCTGTGGTTTTGTGTTTTTTTTCTTTCCCATTGTTAGTGTGTCAATTCTTATCTTCAATATTTCTCGGCAATGCTTTGTTCTGGTGAAGCAGTTCCGTCCAGGTAATTCTCTTCCTTACTTTGGCTTTTATTTTCTAGCAAAGTAAAGCTCTGATGGATGTAATCGTAAAAAGCTGGTGGGCCTCTGTATAGTTGCAGCATAATAATTTGTTTTGTAGCAAGAGGAAGCTGCAGTCGACCTTCTGGTAAATTACTGTACTCTGAGCTTCCTGATAGAATGTTACCATCCTGAGATCTTTCAATTTCACTGTAAGTTTATACCTCTCAATTAAGGTGAAAAATGTTTTCCGCTAAAGAGAAAATCTATCACTTGTATCTCCTGCTATTTCTCTAAGGCAAAGGAGACAGAGTCATGACAATGGGCTATAACTCACTAACCCGGCATCATTTTATGGATAGCCAATTGTTGTTACAGAAATCTATCTGAAGGATTGTCTAGTGCAAACCTAGTTTAAAGATTTCTAAAACAGGCGAACCACAGATTAAATTTCTCATCAAGCGTGAACACCTGTCCATTTGTGAGACTCCTGATCACAGTCTTCTCCATTATAATGAGATAATTTCTGTTACTATTGGAGCAATTATTTATAATTCAATAGCTATATATACAAATGAGTAAGTACACATGCCCTATCTTGTATTCTTTTTCTGACAATAGAAGAATGGTTACCTTACCATCCTTCCTAATATCTATAAATATCTATAAGTTTAATAAAAAAATAACTTATGTAGTGGCAGAAGAGGTAAACAAAATAAACAAAATGACAATGCAAAATGAATTGATTTTAAAAAACATGAAATTTCAGAAAAGTAGGATTTACAGTGGTTTCAAACCTACTTCCATTAAAAGGGATAAAAATATCTCATCTGTCCAGCACCCACTGATCTAACTTCTACTGGTGAGAAACCTAGAAATAAGTCTCATTTGCTTCTTTTAATTGGTAATCAGAGTTGTATGAAAGAAACAGACTTTTATGTACTGACATACCAGCTCACCATTAGCCAGGGGCCATGATAAGAAATCCTCCAAGAATTTCTATTGCCAGTGCTTTCCCCCCATGTTTGGATGCCAACTTTTTCATGTACTTTAAACAGTTCTAGTCAATCTTAGACAATTAGCAGGGTAATCTTTCTGTATTACTTAGTATGATCCAGCCTTACTGTGTTCACAAGCTAGGAAAACGGGGAGGGGGAGAAGGCTATAGGATAGACTGGGAAAAAGACAGTGGTAAAGCACTTCTATATTGTTATAGAACATTGCATGCATGTGTCTATTTAGTCACCGAGAATTAAGTAATTTGGGGAAATTTTACCTTTTTACATACATGAAAATTAAAACTATTTACTCAGTCTTAATGTCAAACTGCAGTACAAATAATCCCATTTCATAAAGGCTGCACTCTGCACAACCAAGGCTCCATATAACAGTAGTTAACACAATAGTATAAATTGAATCAGATAGATAAAACCTTGTTCTTTTTAATTTTCTTTGGTGGAAAAATATTTCTCTTAATGTTTCCTTTATGTGCATTGTATCATAACAATTGTTTCTAGATTAATGAAAAAACCCTATTGCAAATTCTACTTGGCAATCTCTGCAAAGGGCTAGTATACACTCAGAAGAGGCTTTTCAAACAACCATATATATATTATAACTCTAGTGATACAGCAACTGATTTGGCCGGCCGAAAGAGTCAACACTGTGCACATGGTACCTCATGTACACACCAGTGTCCCAAAAAGAATCAGTGACTCCTGGAAAATATTGTAAGCATGTTAGCTAACAAACAGAAATTGTCCCTGAAATAACAATAATTCTGGAAGAAGAAAAAAATCAAACTCTAAGCCATTCAAGTATGTCTTCTGCTCTGCTCAATGCAATTAATTATTTCCATTCAACTCGCAAAATACTCAGAATATTAGATATTCCAGTGTACACCTCATTAAATGAGTCAGATTCCTTCAGACTTTTACAGCTTAAATATATATACAAGAGATTAATTGTTATTAAAGCAGATTTGTTTTAATTCTGCCCTTCAAGTCTGTTGTGGCAATTCAATCCAGAAAAGAGAGGCAAGAAATGTTTTAGTTAATATTATTAACATAATAATCATATTTACCATTTTCTATCTTCTCCCTGATTTGAAGGAAATGAGGCAAAGCCACATAATCTGAATAAAGCCTAATTATTTAATTAAAATAATTGCTCTTCCTATATTTGTTTTAAGGGTAATAAAGAAAGCCATGAAATTGAGTTCACGATATCTATATTACTGGCAGCTTTTTGAGGAAAATGGCCATTTGAAAGTAGTACTGAGAATTGTGATGCTCTTCCATTTTTTTAATGCATGGAAGGATGGGATGTGATCTACTTGAGACATCCTGTTTCTCTTTTCAGAGAAATGCAACCTGACCATGTAAACTCAAAAAAGTGACAAGTGATTGATTTTACTTTTTGCATTTTTTTTTCAGCTGTCTATATGTGCGAAATGGAACAACAATGTCCTCAGTACTTTGGGAATAAAACTGAAGAGAGCTGGTGCCCTCTGTCTGATTTCTTGCCTGCTTCAAAAGGAATAACATATGAACTCTGTGCTGGTATTGTAGACAAGCCAGAGCTCTCTTTGGAAGAAATTGCTTGCGAGGAAATTTTAGAAGAATGTGGCTATGAAGTTCCTGTAACCAGCCTAAAAAGAATCACTTCATACAGGTTGGTAGATCAATGATTTTCAAAGACTAATCAAGGTTTTGTAAACCTCACCGGACATATGTTGCAATCTGCTAGATATTTTGACAGATTTTTTTTCCCCCATTGGGTTTGTCTGAATTTCCTTGGTTTGTTTATTTTTTCCCCAGTCCCATGTTCCCAGTAAAGTAACAGAGTTTTTAGGCTTTAGTAGATCATTGCAACTAGGTTATAGTCACAAATAGTTAGAATGACTGGCCTTTATCTTTGGGCATCTGGGAATTGGTGGTAGTGACATCTGCTATAAGAGCTCGGAAGATGAAGGCAAGAAGAAAGAGTTGTTCCTCTTTGAACTTCATATCTAAGGCTTCAGGGTAATAAATCCCTTGTAAAGCACTTATAAATTAATTATATTACTATATTGCCATATTTGAGAATGATTTGTGATATAAAAACAAAAGACACAGTGACCAAAACAAAGTTCAAATAATATCAATTAAACTGTCATAATACTGAAATGTATTGTTCTGATCCCATTCTGGCAATCCGAAATAAAAGGCTCTCTGTAACACCACCATTTTTACAACCTTTCTAAGAACATCAAGGTGAAGGAGCAGCACTTCCCTCTAAGAACCCCTACCACCTTCTCAAAAGCAGGGCAGGGAGCCCTTAAACATCCTTTCATGAATGAGCATAAGGAACAGGAGGAGTCCATGTATAGAAGATGGTCCTGAAGATACATAAGAACTAAATCATTTAAGCTTTAAAGAATAAAATCAGTATGTTGAATTATAACCAAAAACCTATTGGTAACTAGTACAAAACCTGCAGATCTGATGTATTGCTGTAACAATTCTGATCCATCAACCATCGGGCCATCTATATTATGTTATAATAATTTAAACTCTAACATAGAGAAGGACATGATTTACCATTGCCAAGAGTTTTTTGGAGTGAGTGGCTAGAATAAATCAAATGAATAAGTAAATAAATAAATGTTCTCCTGCTACTAATAGAGCTAAGTAAAGACTGTCTGACCACAGTTGAGCAGTAGTTTTGAGTTACAGACTTGCTTCTATAGGGGGGAATGTGCAGCCCTTTCAGACTAAAATACTGTCAGCTGGTTTTTGGACAAAAATTGCAAGGAAGACAAAATGCAATAAAGGCATAATAGAAGACAATATCTTGTCTTCTACTTGATTTTATGTAATATAGATAATTCCTTAAAACATGCAATATTTATATATTCTAAGGACACATTATTACTATGCTGTATGCATATATACAGTTTATTTTTAGTGTACAGTAATTCATTTGTTCAAAGCCACATATAGTAATGCAGATAGGAAAACAGAATCTTGTATATATGAATCTATACTAATTTGCATATAATAGTCATTTAGTAGCTGTCAAAAGATTCAGAAGTTTCCCAGTTGTGCTATTTAATTAAAATATACAAAAAGGAAAGAAAGATGTCAAGGACTGAAGTCAAAATGGTCTACAATACATACTAAGTTTTGTTTTATTAGTAATCTACTGATAGTCTCTGGTCAGTAAATATCACCATAAATCCAATCCAATCTACAACCTTTATAAACATGAACAAAAAGGCAAGGGAGACAATGAAAATTTTATCATAGTCTGCACAGAAGCTCCAAAAGAAAAATCTTTTATCTGTTGTGTTATATAATTGATAAGCAGTTTGCTTCGTTTTCTTCTTTGCACAGAATTGATAATACCTTTTGCTACATTTAATTTTCATAGAACTCCATCAATGACCTCTTACATTCCAGGCCTGCCACTATCAAAACTTTCTGCTACCAAGGGAGTTTTTACATTTAACACAACTTTGTCATCCAAAATAGTAGCTCTATGGATCTTCCCTCTTTACTCTTTTACCCAAGTTGGGATCTCATCGCATTGCACATTTTTCTTGCCACTAACAGCCTTTGAACTGACCCAGAGGTAGGGAAACACATAACTGGATGAAATTGTATAACAAGTAACTAGTGAAGCATGAGTTGGGGCTGCTGTTATCACCAGCATCACCTTGAAAAAGTCCCTTTCTATTTACCGTACTTTTGTTTGCTGATTCTTAAAATTAAAAGCCCAAGACCACTCCAGTCACAGTCAGTCTAGACAAATGGCTAAATCACCTATTTACTGCCAAAACTGATTAAAGAAGGCAATGCCAGAACAATAAACAGTATTAGCCCTTGACTTCCTGCAGATGTAGGTATTTAGAGCTCTTAGATGTTCTGTCTTTTTAAATGCATTTGTTGACTACAGCAAACACTTGTATCCGAACACACTGTTTCAAGATTGTTGAGATGGACTATTTTCTGGCCTTGGGGTAACTGAAGGATTATTTCAGTTATTAATTATATTATGAGATCTGTTTTTTTATTCCAAAGTTACTGTTGTAAGGACACCACCATTTTTATAAGGAATTTAATATTGTTGCTGTTTCATTGAAATTCAGTCAGAAATGAGAGGAGAAGCCAACTATGTGTGTATAGAGTATTTGGAATTAAAGAAATGTCAGGAATTAAATACTCTGAAATGAAAATGTGCTTATGGCCTTCTGCCTCCCCAGATTGCAATTTTCTGAAAAAAGCATCTGTTCTTATACTTGAAAATGCATGTCAAAATATATGGAAAAGTGGTGACTTTAAAAGGAAGCAAAACTTTGCTTTTCCTCTTGACAACTGTGTTAAAGTGGACAATAACATTTTTAAAAATGAAGAAGGTAGAGGAAGGGGAGAAAGGGGGAATTAAGTATAAATCCTCAGCTGCCAATCCTGGCAAATGTTGTTTCCTGTTGGATTAACAAGCTGTTTGCTTAAAGAGAGAGGACACTGAACAGAGGAGAAGACTTTTGCTACTCCTTGGAGCCACATTAGAGGACTAATTTTATAGATGAAAAAGTGCTTTCTTTGGTATGGAATAAAACCTGCAGTCCTAGCAATGCTTTGTTGGGAATCAGTCTCATTATATTCAGTACAATACTTTTGAGGAAAAATGGACAATTACACCTTAACAGTTGCAGCTTAGAATTCTGTTGTACACAATATATCATTACTATTTTTTTGATCTGTAATGTAGAAGTCAACCCTCAAAAAAGGCTTTGATGATGTAAATTCTTCCTTACCACCATTCTAATCCACCATGTGATATTAGATTATACCTGTATGTTGCAAACTAGTATTAGCCAAATAATTGGGAAGAAAGGTAACACTGAGATAAAAGTTACTGGAAAGTTTATATACACTGTATGTGTTTTGTATGTTTCTGAATGGAGAGCCATCATAATAGAATGGCCTCAGAGCTCTCTTGTAAGATATTTTACATCTCAGCATTTCCTCTTTTATAATTCTTACATTCTAGTTTCCCTACAAATGAACCCACGCCTGGGTTAGTGGAAAGGTGTATGTATTGTTCTGAGCTGAGAATTATTTTAGGTCACAAAAGAAGGCCAGGAAAAGCAAAAATATCCATTGTAAAATTATTCTGGGCTAAACATTGCTCCATCCAGCACCAGTTTTGTCTGCTCTAGTAATATCAAGTCTAGAACGCCAGGTTCTTTCAGCCTTTTGGAACTTTGTAATGAGAAATGTCAGGGTTGATTCATGTCTGTCACTTTCTCGACTATGTGAGCATTCCTCTACAAACCATCTTTTTCGCCTATATCCCAGTGAATCACCTAGTCTGCTTCACCTTTGCTGTATTGTAATATCTGCTGATTAACTGAGCACTGTTGGTCAGTCAACATATAAGGACTACACATACATTACATATTTGCATTGTCAACCTATCTGGGAATGAATACCTCCTTCTATGACCTTCTGTCATACAAGAAACAGAATTGGTAAGCAGAAGGGCACCTGCAGATGAGATGAGTAGGATACCTTGTTAAGCCCGAGACAAGGGGAGGGGGAGAGTTACATAATGTGATTTGATATTGACTTGGGGAAATTATTTTTTATCGTAAGTTGGATAGAATCTGGAAAGTAAATGGCATAAAAAATAAATTGCAATCATCAGTTCAGGATGTAAGCTAGATGTTGCTAGATCTCCACAGTTCAGAAATGGTTGTAGCTCGCACATTAGATGTAAGTAACTATACAGACACACTCCTTATTACCCATGCCACCTAAAAATCTGAAGAAGCTGTATTTAAAGTTCCCTTCCAGTCTATAGACCTGCTTTCTCAGAGGGAATGCAACCCCAAGAGCCTGGATTCTTACTGACAAACAGCACTTTTTATTTTCCAGATTTAATTTGTTTTCCCTCCTATAGTCTAGCAACTTTTTCTTTTGTTAGATGACAAGGAAAAGTAGACATTGCCCATCCTCAAACTGTAGTTGCATTTCAAAAGTATATTGGATACAATACCAGAGGCTCATTTCATTTTTAGCTTTATAAATTAATTTTCTTTGATGTTTTATAAAAATAAAATATAGGAAATGGAGTATAATCATACATAATGTAGTTATTTTTGTGCAGTGCTACATACTGTATTGTAATCTATACATGAATGCAATTTTAACCTCACTATACTGTGGTTAATGACTGTAGTATAATTTAGTGGAATCACCTGCTAGTACACCTGCCTCTAAGATTATTAGAGTATATCATTTTGTGTCAATTGCTGCTATTCTGTGGGTATTGTTTTCCTCCACCTGCTACTTATAACCTCGGAACTGTGTGAAGGTCTAAGAAATTACCTAAGGAAATTACCTTTATTGCTCACCGATTGTCTGTTCCTGGATTTGGAATGTAATACAAAGAACATTATGAGTCTACATATAAAATGTGATATAAAATGTTTTCTATAATCTAGATTATAGATTGTCCCAAATTACATTCTGTTGAGGAATGAAAGTTAAATTTTTACTTAAGCATAGAACTTTATAATACGATTAATGAGAATCCATTTTTAAGCATGAATATGAAAATTCAGTAGAATTCAATAGAAAATTACCTGCCTTGTTCTGTTGTTATGCTTGAAGCTGCCTACAGTTGATTGGAGAAAAAAAAGGAAAAAAGTCTTGTATGAAAAAATGTTAGAACATTGATTCTCCCAATAGAAGTAAATAGAAAGGCATAAGGAAAAGAGATAAGGAAGTTACTTGCAATGGAATAAATTGAATTATATTACAAAATATCACACATAAATGTGTGGACTTTACTAATGAAAAGTATGAAAAAAGATGTTTTGTAGAATGATTAAGTGAAAGAAGTTGGGCCTGAGAAAAAATAATGAAATTAATTAAGAGTATATGAGAATGATTTGCTGCAAAAACTGAAGGCAAGAAAAAGATATATTTAGAGAAATGAAAAAGTAATTGTAAAGAATGTATTTAAAGAGCAAAGAATGATTAAGATTAAAAAGGCAGAAAACAGTGTGATTTTGGAGTTGTTAAAATTGATTTGAAAATGGGTCAAATAAACTTTCAATGTAGTAAATAGAATTAAGAATAAAAAGTGATTACGTTTTTTGGGTTTGTAGTTAATGCTGGAAGGAATGTTTTGAAGATTTGTATGGGAATGGTTGAAGAATGGAATTAAAATGAATGATGTTAGGGTGCAAAGGAAAACGATAAAAAGCTCCCAATAAGGTATTATTAAATACCTTTTATAAAAAGTGAAGTGAAAGGTTTTGCACATCTTGGAAAGGAATGATGTGCAATCTTTCCCTTTGTTCATCATTTTTTAAATAGCTCCATTTATCTATACTGATGGTTCTGAAAAAGATAACAGTAGGAATTTACAACTGATGAGATGAAATATGGCTGAAGACACTGAAGCTTATCAAGAAAGCTGGAAGGTTTTTTCTTTAAGCTATAGAGCTTAAAGAAGAAGCCCCCAGAGCAGGTACCTATCAAAGAGACCCAACAGCAGAAAGCAGGTTTCAGGTAAGAAGATGTACCAATGCAGTTCTCATTATATCATTTAGACCAGTGTTT